GCCTCCCCCCCCCACCTATCCGGCCCGCCACTCCTCCTCCTCCTCCTCGTCCATCGCTGATTGTTCCATTGCTGAGAAGACAGCATTCGACTAACATGAACACGAACGCTGCTGGTCTACTGAACTGTTGTTNTGGGTGAACTATTACACCCTCTTATGTAACCTGAACTAAATACACGTCAAATTTCCTATCATATGCACCCCGATAAATCAATGCTCATCCTGATCATGCACACACACACACACACACACACACACACACCTGTGTGAGCCTGAATTCAAGACTATTAAAAAAAAAACTATGAGATCATTTATGTGTTTTCTTTTCTACTGTTTTTTTCCCACAAAGCACTGTAAATTCCATCGCGCAACAGGTAGTAACTGTTCCATTTTTTCTAATGATCTTAATCATAATTGAATTGGATCGGTACACCACTGGGGCTGGTCCGAAAGGGGAGAAGGGGAGGGTTTGAAGGAAATCACGCATCACACACAATCACTTCTGCGGAACATTTGTTTACAAGTGAACTCAACGAGCACATCAAGAGTGCCTGGTGCCCCTGAACAAGCGAATGGGCTAATCCAAGCTTGCTACTCTAAAATTGATTGAGTCATTCGCAAAAGGTGATGACCGTCCACCGTGTAGCTCTAGGGGTTAAGGGTTTGAAGTTCCAATCCGAACGTTCGTGGTTCGAGTCCTGACAGGGACACAACAAATTACGCTCTGCTGACGATTCCCAGTAACAAAAGCAATTCGAACTGAACACACTTCAGACTATTCATCTTCAAGCCCAATCTTTCGTTGATTCAGTCAACCTGACATTGGTGGAAATATTCGATTTACGTGGTAATCTTAGCTGACATGATTCGCGGTACATGGCCATCGATTTTTCAGGGGTTCGGAATCCGAACCTCTTATATGAAAGGTGTGTGTGTGTGCGAGAGAGAGAGCCATACGTAGATTATAAGCCAGTATAGTTAAGTTAAGCCAAGAAAGCTTTATTCACCCAAAGGATGAATTTTCAACAATTTACGATTTTTATAGTGGATAGATAAAACCAATTGCAACCAAAAAAGACAATATAAGAAATTCTACACTTTAGTAAACGAGAGAAGAATTAGTGCAAGAGTTTTTTTAGGTGGGTGAGAATGTTTGGACGATTAACTAGTAACCGAGCTAGATATGGAATTAAACTGTTTCGATATGTGGAAGTCCCCACAGAAAGGATCTGATGTTTAGAGGGAGTTCGGGGATTTGACTGGGCTTTCCCGATATCTCGGTGCAGTCGGTGCCCTTGATCACGTGTTATCCTGTCAAAAAAGGTGTCACAAGTGAAAATAAGCAGATGTTTCGGTTACCGTGGGTAACCTTTATCAAGGCGATTTTACAATCCGACATCGCTGTGTTTTCAAAATTACAACTTATATAAAACATCACATGGCGCATCGATTTTGTGATACACTCCGAACGTTGTTCGGATTTGACACTTTGAAGGTGTCACAAATGTCAGAATGCTTGATAATAAAGAAATCAACTAAAACAACACTATCGAATCCATTGTAGCGGGGCAAAGGTTTAAGAGATCTCGAAAATAAAGTGGAGTGTTTTTCTTCCAGTTCAGGGATAAATATCGGGGAACAGTCAGTATAGCCAGTGTGGAAGAAGACAAGCCATCACAAATTTAAGAATTAGATTATGTGTTACGGCCAGTTTCCTGAGTCTGTAAGCAAATAGAAAGATAGTTATCTAACTTTGTGAAAACGTTGATGACATGAGCAAACCAGGACAGGTTATGGGTTAGAATGACACCAAAGTATTTAGCAGATTTGGGAATGCTTTGATTGTTAACTCTAAGATCGGGGAGATGAAAGCTAATGGGGACCGGTTTTGAGACTAAATGGAACTGCAATACACTTACTGATATTGAATACAAGGGACCGGGTCACAGACCAATCGGGAAGTTCATTAAGGCTGTCCTGGAGAGGTCGAAAACTGTCTGAGATAGGGAATGGGCAACCAGTCGCAATATTCTCAGCATTCATGCAAGCAATAAAGTTGGTGGAAATGGAGAGATTTTGTATCTATACAGAAAACAAGAAAAAGAATGAACCATGAATTCCAGAGTCCAGAAGCACTATGCAGCCGATTGCCACACTGTTTGGTATTCTTAGTGGTGCTCATCCATCAACTCAAATGAGGTCCGAACCTGAGACCTCACCAGTAGATAGTAACTTTTTCATCAACATAAACACAGCCGGGTAAGTGATCAAACTATGTCATCTCTTTATTACACAACAACCCATATTTGCAAGTGTGTTCCGAATAATATCACAACTTGATCACCTTGTCATTAGTCTCCAGAGTTACAAGTCAGCCGGGAATTTCTTCGAATTTGACCATATCCATTTACTACACTAACGAAGTAGTGCAAGAAAAAATTGGTTCTATTCCATAGACTTATTTCTGGGTGTTGATGGAAATTTTTGGTGTGGATGGGGGTAGCGAACGGTGGTTCAATGAACTGCGTGAGTATCAGAGTAACGGAAACCGATTTTACTTTAGTCCGGTTTGGAAACCAAAGCCAAACCCATTCGGTTTTTTCTCCGTCTAAAGCATTCGGTATCGGTCGGTTGTGAAAAATTCAGTCGATTCGGTGGTATTCGAACCCACGCATGGACGCCGTCTACGCTTCAAATCGACCAAACAACAATCTGAATAATTAACCTTGCCTTAAAAGCACATTCGGTGAACTGTGGTGAATTCTAAGGAAAATCTGTCAGTCAGCTTACATGCTAACTGATGGATGCCATATATCTCTGTAAATTGGATGGGTAAAACGAATGTGAAAAGATCAGTGCTATCGGTGTGGCCGCGTAGCTCAGCTGGTGGGCAGCGTGCACTGTACAAAAGCGTAGGCGGAGTCCATGAGTGGGTTCGAATCCTATCAAGGCTACTGAACTTTTCACAATCTGGACATACGAACTTCACATCTGTTAAACAACAATCTTCCAATTTTGTCTCCCTGTCAACTCCAGTGACCTTCAGTTCTGTTCATTTTAGGTACATCAAGGAACCCAGTGTGTGTGTGTGTATGTGTGTTTCTCTTACAATATGTATGCTGTATGCTCACAATGGGTGGATGATTCAGAATGCTATTAATTGGTGACCAGAATCAACCGTGTCCAAATTGTCTTTACACGAGGATTTCAATACTAAAACCGGCACATTCAAATCTATATAATGTGAAACACTGATGCCGGCTCTATATGAAGCGCATTTGCCTAAGCAGTGAACGAAAAATGGTGTCCGATTTGGCACAGGGATACGCTATTGAGTGATTGACTGACTGACTGACTGATCGACCCGTGTGGGATACTCTGGCCAGCAAATACAAACACACACACACACACAAAGAACTATAACACCAATGCCAGTTGACCTTGTACATACAGTTCGTCGGAGTAGAATTCTTCCAACTTGAACTTTTACACTTCCCTTGCTCCATGCACTACAGACCAGCACGTACGCAAGTACCCGGTTTCAGATAAACAAAATACAATGTGTGATCGCTAAAATGGCCAAGAGAGAGAGAGAGAGCACGCCCAGTGAACAATTCTCAGTGTAACGGAAAAACGTTGGTAGCACTAGCATACAGTCGTTTTTCGTTCGGCTTGTTCGAATTTATTAGCCGTGCATATACCCCGAATTCATTGGGGTTTCGAACCTAGCACACAGTCTGGCACGCAAACCACTGGGGCTATCCGCGCTGGTGCTCAGCACGCAACACAACAGCATTCACTCAATCACTGTTATTTAAAGATCAAAGATTTATTATGGGGATAACTTACAAGTTCATGCTTTTGTCGTCCCATAGGTTCGTGTTGTGTTGAAAATATAGTGATACATACATAGTGATACACACATTCCCATGTGTAAAATGTCACATGATACGGGATTCTTTTACTGCAGCATGCAGCTTCACGCGATGTTGAAAAGTAAGATGCGCTGATGTTTCATCAGGTCTCAGTTTGAAAGATTAAGTGCTTGGTGCACAGACGACGTGGGATGAGAGAGAGAGAGAGTTCCAGATCGAACTCACTCTGACTGCGAATGACTGACGCCGGCATTCCAATCGACATTTTGAGACCAATAATTTGAACGGATGTCCTCTAGGATGTATGTTGA